TTACCAACCTAGCAAATTTAAAATAACAAAAATTTCATATTTGAGGCATTCAATAATAAAATGGTTTTTAACTCAAAAATTAAAAGCTATGGATGAGAGCGATGTTAATAAAATTTGTTCATAATATATCATAAAGACATAATCCATAAACGGTTTGTTTCCAAATAAATCGCATTTGTAGTCATAAGCCATAAAATCCACAAATCTCATAATTTACGTTTTGGAATCAAATTTGTTTATAACTCAAAAAATAGAAACTGTAGAAAAAGACGTTATGGATGAAAATTGTGTGTAATGAACCAACATAACATTATCTATAAGCGATTGTAACTCAACTATGATTATTACCAACCTAGCAAATTTAAAATAACAAAAATTTCATATTTGAGGCATTCAATAATAAAATGGTTTTTAACTCAAAAATTAAAAGCTATGGATGAGAGCGATGTTAATAAAATTTGTTCATAATATATCATAAAGACATAATCCATAAACGGTTTGTTTCCAAATAAATCGCATTTGTAGTCATAAGCCATAAAATCCACAAATCTCAAAATTGAGGTTTTTGAATCAAATTTGTTTATAACTCAAAAAATAGGAACTATAGGAAAAGACGTTATGGATGAAAATTGTATGTAATGAATTATCTGTATGCTATTGTAACTCAACTATGATTATTACTAACCTAGCAGATTTAAAATCATAAACATGTTATATTTGAGACATTCAATAATAAGATGGTTTTTAACTCAAAAATTAATAGCTGTTGGTGAGAATGATATTAATAAAAATTGTTCATAATACATCATAGAAACATAATTCATAAACGATTTCTTTCCAATTAATTCGCAATTGTTATAAAGTTTACTAATCTCTAAATTGATGAAAATTGATCAGATAATCACTCCATTTCCGATTACGTGATTTGATAGAACTTTTATGCCTGAATGTTTATCATAATTATGAATACATAACATTAATCGTGTGTATTTATTTGAAATGTAAGTTTATATGAAAGGTCAAGTAAAAAATCGTTGAAGTCATTTCTATATAAAGAATTCTTAAGAAAATTCATCTTCTTACATAGAACTATTATTATGCCCACATAATATTCATGCTTATTATTGTATCATCTACACAATATCATAAATAATATCAACGAACTCAATGTTTTAATCAATTTTTAGATAATATTTGAAAAAATTTTAAAAGTATTTAAAAAATTATTACGCAAATCATATCTAAAATTTGTTGGTAATCTTAGGCATACGTAAAAAGTTATCATTTGGAATTTTAAAACTATTTATGTAATGGAACATAAAGAATCATTCTAATACAACTAGATATTGAAATAACTGGTTGAAAGTTTTTCAATACTACGTAATGAAATAATGTACTTTGAACGTTCTACTGACGTCAGTTCCTAAACGAAAAGGTTTCTTTATAAACACACCTTAAAACAATTTTAGTACGATTTAAATTTAATACAACAAATTTAAATAAATAATTATTTTATAAAAAAAAATTGTACATTGTTGATTAATCTGCTGATGACTCGAAAACATGAAATCCACCAAGTAGGAGTCAAAATCCGTACAGAAATAAATCCGGCTGATAAGATAAAACGTTTCTATCTGTACCGGGGCCAAAACATTCGTTCCCGAATCAGATCGGCTTGCTGTTATTGTTGTATCATCGATCAGTACAAAGTTTGCATTTGCGCAACTACGTCAACGACACTGTTTACATCCCGACGTTTGCCTAAAAAAAAACATATTAATAAAAATCAAAAATATCTCGATTAGAGGCGAATTTATCAAACGCGATTCCCCACGTCTCGTCGTTAAAAATAAACATTATCTGATTGAGTCGTTTACGTGGCGAATTCATAAATGTAACGTATCGAAATCGCAACTTCCTCGTTAAGGCGCCAAGGTGTGTTTTATTAAAGGTAAATGCCTGGTCAGTTGAACCAGACTAGAATTTCTTCAACGACGACCTTCCAATCGTTCTTGGACGAAAGTGAAAGTGTACACCGTCGTTGTTGGTTGGATTTGCACCACGCAAATATTTTCGTGTGGCATGTATTGTTGCGTGATCGGTTTGAAATTGCATTTTAAATTTCATCTAAGAACAATATATTTTTATTAAAGAAATTAAAAAAAAATAAAAGTATATTTGGGTTTAATTATAATTAATCTGTATAAATATTTTTGTTTTTAATCAAAAAAAATTTTCCACTGCGTTCTTTAAAAACGCAATTTTGATATCGTCATTGTTAATTAAAATGAAACTCTTAATTCAAAATTCTTATCACTTTATGCATTAAATAGGTCAATATCGTGTTACAGACCATTTACTGTTTGCATATCCTATACGAACGATTGCTCTGAATTTTAAGTTGATTTTGTTATGTAGATCACATTTAAATTTAATTTCTACTTTGGATCAGTAAGAATTTATAATCTCTATTTTAACTAATTTAATTTTGCTTCGCGTTTGATCTGTTAAGATTGATAGATTAAATTGTCATAAAAAATGATAAAACACTCAATCATGAATACATTTTCTCCAATATCATTTATTTAAGTCATGATTGTACTTATCTAAACACAAATAATCGTTTGATTAAATTCACAATGGGAATCGCGATAATTTATCAACTAATAAAAATAGAAAATTTGTGAGTTATTAGAAGTTAACCTTGGTTTGGTCAAAACAAGTTTATTTTCAGATTTAGGTGTTAACGTTCGTTGTTAGCCAATGAATTAAATAACTTCGGATAATAGTTTAGGTTTTAATTAATGAAAAATATCTTTATCAAAACAGGATGCCGCGCGCGCGCGTCGACCAATGTTTCGCCGAACGATAACTTTACTTCAACAGGAATTTATTTGTGTTTCACTGCTACTGCTGCGAGACTATCCGCGGGCGCGTTTGTTTGTTCTGTTTATCTATAGCGGTTAGATAGAAAATTCCAAGAAACGAGCAGACACTTTCTGAATGAATACACTTCTGACTTAAAAAAAAATAATAATGATGATTCTTTGCGGTGAATATATTTTTTGTTCTTCGTTATCTTCCTGAAACCCGCTGGTCAGCTTGTACCTAACAAGGTCATTTCATATCTTATCGTCGCAAATAGCAAGTTTAGAAATTTTCAAAGTAATCCTCTAATATATGAGAAAGATAGAACGATTAAATCGAGATAGTCTATATAATAACGGGGGCCCCCAGTTTTTTTATCGATCCAAATACGTCACAGAATCTGTATGTTATTGAAACCTTATCAAATACGAAATGACTCATCCAGTTTTAACGACAATATCGTTTTGATAATTATCCTATTAATTCTTTTACAACGTTTATTACAAAGATGCATGTCTTAAATCATTCTGTCAGTGATGATTTTAAAATAAATGAAGTGGAGAAATGATCGGAATAATAATATTGATGACTATCTGTAGATGATTCAGAACGAACGCTTCGTTAGAGAGATTCCATAGTAAAACGAAAACAAGTTAACGAAGTGTGAATCACAGGTTGCTGCTGTACGTTCGAAGGAAACAAACTTTCGCTTGTTAATCTTTGTATACGTCAGAGGTTACTCAATTATAAATGTGCGTTCTCTTTTTTACACCAACTCGCTAACCCAATGACGATTTGTTATGTGTGTTTCTATTTCGTTGTTGCAAAGAAAAACTAAGTGAAAAGTATTATTTTGATTTCAATATTATTTTAAAAACACTTTTAAGTTTTAGCTAAAAAAAAATTTATGTTTACAAATTAATTAGAATCTTTATAAAAAGATATTGAATCGAACCTTGAACTTTTTTTGTCGAAATTCCTTTAGAAAATTATGTTAACAAAAAATATCTTATAAGAAATCATGAATTTGTTTATCAAAAAAGTCTTTTAGCGTTTATTTTGGTTATTTGTTCTTGTTGTAATGCTCTTCCATGGTATCCTATGTTACATCTTAAATCATGGGTAAAATGCGATTCAAAATTTTACAAGTATATTGCAGATGGTATTAGGCAGTGACCCAATAAACGTTCTTTAGTTTTTTTTTGCCCACAGAAGTTGAACATCATCATATTCACATGTGACATATTAGTTTTCAACAGCATGTAGAGAGATGGGTTTGGTGATGATGGGGTTGGGATTGTGATAGGTTAGATGAGGATAACTTGAATTTTGTTGTATGAATAAGACTGGATTTATTCAGTTTTATATACTGCAAGCAGTATACAGTCTCTTGCAGGGACTAATTAGTTATTTTGCAAAAAGCAAATAGATTACTTCAAGCAATTTAATATGCAAGCAGACTGTTATTTACTATAACTGCTGTAGAAGGATCTGGTTTTGTATTAGCAATATGTAATGTTGTATCAGCAGTATTTAAACTTCTCTCAATAGCATCTAATCCTTTGTAAGCAGTATTTAATCTTCTGTAAGCAGTATTTAATCTTCTGCAAGCAGTATTTAATCTTCTGCAAACAGTATTTTGGTCTTTTACAAGCAGATCTTGTATTATGTTAGCAGTATGTAATCTTCTGTAAGCCGCAAGTAGTCTTTAACTGTTTGTTCTGTAAGGTGATTAATTACAGTCTCGATTTGATAATATACCTCTCTCATACTTTTTATATTGAAAGAATCATGCGTATGCCAACATTTGTTGGATTGGTATATATCTTTGAAATGAAGAAAACTCTCTCACTCGACAAGTGATAACCTGCTTAAGTTATAACTTTAATTATATCAACTATTGCAAATATCGAATTAAATATTTTATTTACAGCCGTTAATTTCTTAAGAAAAAGAACTTCCTTTTTAGACCTAACTGATTATTCCACCAATGTGGGCCTCGATTACCATTTCCTACATAAAGTGGATTAATTATATAGTAAACCAGAGAGATTATCTCATCTGATCACATCCTCTCACAACTTCAATGATAAAAAGCCATAATATTAATTTATTTTATCTTTTTCTTTTAGATCGAGACTGAGTATCGCGATGGACAACTGCTCCATCGAAAGTTACTTGCACAAAAAGTTTAAAAAGCAGTCGAGTAGTGTTCCACAACAAAATGTATCAGCAGTGCCATCGTCTTCAACAAACGAACAAATATCCGTATCACCAGTTGGGGCGATCGCGGAGAAATCGAATCAGTGTGTGTTGGCAAATCAACAAAAGTATATTGAAAAATCACTTGCGGTGAGCGATGTGCCAACCAATTTTAGTACAAATTCTTCGGGTGATTGCCACAGAACGGCATCGCCACACACGTCTTCCATATCAGTTAATAGTATGAGTATGTTAGAAAGTAGGATCGGTAGGCCGGTTCAATATTCGACCACGAGCAACAACGGCATATCACTACAGCGAGTATCATCAGAGTGTGGTAACCAAACGAACCAATTGAATAATCAACAGAACCAAATAAACCAAGTAAATCAAATTTTGGTGGCAGCGTCGGATTCGGCGTTAAATTTAAATAGTACTAAATTACAATCGAGGTCTTCCAGTTTACGAGATGAGGATTTAGACAAAGTTGAAACGTCTTCAACTCCCGAAAAACCCGGCGGGAAATATGTGTGCAACTATTGTAATTTGGTGTGTTCAAAACCTAGTGTATTACAAAAACATATAAGGGCGCACACGAACGAGAGGCCGTTTCCGTGTGTGAGTTGCGGGTTCAGTTTTAAAACTCGTTCGAACTTGTATAAACATTGTCGATCTCGAACGCACGCCAATAGAGTTTTGGGAAATAAGGCTCAAGAGATAAACGTGGATATGGACGAGGAAAAACAGGAATCGTTGAAACCCGATTACGAAGAAATCAAACCGGTCGACGCAAAATCAAAACCGTATAAGCCGAGATTTAAAGCTTTTTTTGATTCCACCGGTGTTGAAAATGGGGGGGAAGTCGAAACGTTTACTCCTACCGGAGAAACGACTAAATCCAACACGAGCAACGCCGATTTAATATCGTTACACATTGACGAATTAATCCATAAAAATAATTCTTTAATTATTAACACAAACGATCCAAACATGTACAAGAAAAGAAATTCAATCAATACGTCTTCAGAAGTAATCACGAATAATAATCACAATGAATATAACTATAAATATCACGAATTGTACCAACCGAATCATCAGCATGTTCATGCGCATCCACAACATCTTGATATTCCACCGAACGAAGATGAACCTTTAAATTTAACAAATAAAAATCGGAAGCGAAGTATGAGCGAAGTTCACGAACCAGTTGGTCAAAAAAGCTTGATCAAAGAGTTGTTATTAAAAAATTTATACGCCGATTCGAATAAGCAGTGTCCACATTGTAAAATGATCTTCCAAACGGTGACCGAATTGGATTTGCACAAATTAAGACATTGCAAAGGTTATCAGAAAGCGGGAGCGAGATACTCGCGAAGCAGCTCCGTTAACGTCGCTTCGATTTTAACTCAAAATAAAAACGCCTTCGATACCAATCCGCATATCCCAAATGTCTTTCCGTTAAAATCTCCCGGCCCGTTCTTAGGAAAAACTCGATTGGTCGAAAGTGATAAAGCTAAATCGTTTTCGTTTGACGATGGAATACAAACAACTTCGCTTCAAACTTCAACGACGTCGCAAGATATTATTAAAATGTCGCAACGGTATGCATTGTCACCATTAACTTTACAAAGTGAACAATATAGGAAACAACACGTTAAATTATTCGGGGGGGAAGTAAAAATTCAGTCGTCAGAAAGAGTTGAAGTTAAAAAAGATGAGAAATACCATCATCACCGTCAGAATTATCAAGAATATCCCAATAATATAAGTGGTAATACTGTGGTAAAATCGACTTTACAGTCGGGTGGGACATTAGTGCAAACAAAACCTTTTGAGGAACCTTTAAAAAAATCAACTTCACCAGAAATTATTAGGGTGTATGAAAGTCCTCCTCAATCACCCACGATAGATGTAGTTAACGTTGATAAACCGTCGTTTTCTTATCGACCCGAAGTGATCGTTGATTATCCCCGACACGAAGAGACTCCTTATACATACATGAACATCATGGATTATAGTCAAAACGCAGTAAAGATGCTCACACCAAAAATAAAACAACCAACATTAAATCTCCAAGAGATCGTTTCTCCACTTAAAATAAACATTGAGCAAAGATCATTCGACAAAATTGATTCACCAGTATTCCCAAAAGATCTCGAAGAACGACGTAAATCAGAAAACATCGATTTCGCACAAAAACAAATCCTACTCCAACAAAAAATGACGTTGGAACCGCCAAAATTACACGTATATAATCCAGTTAAGTTTTTAGTAAACGGAAAAGTGATTAGATACGTCCCTGGTATGCCAGGACCTATTACGGTTGATACACCATTAGAAACGCCGTATTCACCTAGTTCTCCTATAACAAGAGTACCTATACCTAATATGAGATTATCAAAACCTAACATACGTATTACGCCTCCTGAAAGTGTTGAAAAGTATCCAGAAAAACATCAATCAATCGAGATTAATCGAAGTCCGAAAATGGCTTTGGAGATCAACACGGATTTAAATCCTAATGTAAACGAAATGAAATCTCCGGTTAAACTTTTTGTGATAGATAAATCCCCAAAACTTTCTGAAAACAAATCGCCGATAAAATCACCGAATACTCCAATTAGTTTAGACTCGCCAAAAAAATTCGCCAGACCAAACAGCTTGGCAATTAAATCCGCACTTCCCGGTTCTTTGAAACAACATCACGGTCTCACCCCGACCGTTTTCAATCAGATTTTAATTAGTCCGGATACGCCGAGAGTAGCCAAGAAATACAACCATCAAATTCTTCACGGAAATTATTTTAGTTATTTGGGATTGAAAAGTTCGACGAAATCCTCTTATTGTACTTTAAATAAAACCCAACCGTTTTATGTGCCGCATTTTAAAAAGTTGAGTATGTACTCAGAATGGAGGCAACATGCCGGAACTAAAATGGACAAACTTTTTGCCGGAGCTTACGATTCCAGACAGAGGAATCATAAGTATACTGTAGCTAAAGCTGTTGTGGATGATACTATTCTTCATTCAACGTATAAGGTAAATATTTTTATTTGGTTGTTTCTAAAAAAGGTTAAATGAATCATCAGGGTTCAAAGACATTGTTTAAAAACATAGTATAAGCGAATTAATGTTTTTTAAATCTTGCTGATGCAAAAAAAAAACTTATTAATTTGTATTTATTCGGTTGAATCCTTTTTTTGCGTGTAAATATGATGCAAAACATAAAAAAAAATAATCAATATTTATAACAAAGTGATTATCTAATACTTGATTAGGGAAACTGCCGAGATATAAACAATAAAAACATTGAACTCTGCGAACCATCGTACATTATAATCGATTCGCGATCAAAGTTCACGTAGTTTGATCAGTTGAGTGATTGATAAAGAGTTTATTTTGTTATTTAGAGTGTTCATAAAAATGTCTAAAGTTATTAAAGTTGTCATTAAAAATAGTTATTTATGATCCAAGGGATTAAAACCAACCTTTTTTATATTAATGTCGCAATTTTTGATTAATTAATTAAATTTATTATTACTTAATTTCAGTTTAATGTTATTGAACAACAATCTCAAAAAGAAAAGGAAGAATCAAACAAATCTATCCTTGGTGGATTCGAATCCAACGAAGATTATACTTATATTCGAGGAAGAGGTAAATTTAAAGTTAATTCGATGGTTTTAAGTGATTAATTTTGGTGTGTTTTTTATAGGAAGGGGTAGATATGTTTGTGATCAATGCGGAATTAGATGCAAAAAGCCTTCGATGTTAAAAAAACATATCAGAACACATTCTAACGATAGACCCTATACTTGTAGTCATTGTAATTTTAGGTAAGTCAATTAATTTGAGAGGATTAAACAATTTTTAAGGGGGAGTGCGCTTTTAAAGTTTGGAATTGGTGTAACACTCAAAATCTTGTTAATTTTGTACTTAACCTCGATTTAATAAAATGTTGAGCTATTAGTTAGGCAACACAATTTACATATAACATAACCTTTTAAATAAAAAGTTTTCAAGAATTTCATCGCAAAGTTTAAGCTTTAAAAGCTTTTATTAATCGTTGTTTAATACACTTGGTTCATTAACAAGTGTAATGGGCTATAATTTAAATATTTTGATGAAGTGTTATGGTATTGCAATAACATTTAAAGTTGGTGTTTATCAAACTTAAGTGAGCAGGATTCGAGATGAATTTAGATTCCCCGGTTGGTATGTTAATCATTAACTCATCCTGGTCTTTCCAGAATGATTCCTTTACCGATTACCTACTCCCTGTCTACAACATTCATGATAACATTCTGTCTCTACAGTAGCAAACCACGATATTCTGCTTGTTATTTGTTTTACAGTACACCAGTTGATACTGTTGTCCTAGATAATCAAAGTTGATAAAAGAGGGATAAGCACATTGCAAAGATTACAAAATTAAAGCTTGATAATGGCATTAATACTTAATTTATAAGATTTTGGGTTGTTATAAAACCGTTTCTATATTTTTGGAACACCTGTATAATAAATTCAAATTTAATTCACTTTAGATACTTAAAATATGTTTTTTATTCTAGTGGTGGTGTAATGTGCCTATCATCTTTTTGCAGCTTTAAAACGAAAGGTAACTTGACCAAACACATGAAAAGCAAGGCGCACACGAAGAACTACGCGGCGACAACCGGAAGTACATCTGTTTCACCCAATTTACCAGGAAGTCCAAATTCGTCAGACTCAGAATCTGAAGAAGAAGATAGTGTTATGGATAGTAGCGGTAAATTAATTAATCTTCTATAATGTCTGTTTTTTACGTCTAATTTATATATTTTTGGTTAATTTTAGATGAATCCTCTACGAGAAATCAAGAACAACAAGAACGCGAAGCGGTTTTTGGGTTGTTATCGCTCTCACAAAAATCATCGGTTACTGAAAGTATAAAATCAAGTTCGAATGGAACGTTAACGAGATCGCTTCCTGTTGATTCTTCCTCAAATTTTATGGATACCGAAAGGATAGCTCACGTTACAAAAACCAATTACGCAAAAAATAAAATCTTAGACCAATCTATAAACTTTAACGCGCCGAAAATATCTGATATTTCAGTTTTAAATTCGGACACGGATTTTCGAGAGGTCCAAAAAATCACCAAGTATTTAGGAAAAACTAATTTGACCAGACCATTAACATATCCATATACAACGCCTATTATTATTGAACCATCCATAGAAATGATGGAAACAAATCAAATACGTAATCAAGCAAACTCATCAGAACTTAAACCGTCTTCTGAACGCTTACACAGTCCAAAAATGGTCGACCCAAAACAATTTAGTGTAATATCTAGGTACACAAAACCAGAAACTAGTAATAACCATCAAGATGAAGAAATGCCACAAAATATAGCGAGTGATTTACGTAAAAGAAAAGCTTATAACGAATCCATTCTTCCATCAAAAATTTCAAGAACTGAAGTTGATGTTATTGATTTATCAATGCCGTCAATAAATGGAAGAAAAATTGATCAAATGAACGGTTATCATCAAATGGATATCGTTGATAATAATTGGAAAGCTAAAGAAATCGCTAATAATATTATAAGGAGTTGTGAACAACCTGACAATTCACCAAAGACTTACGAAAGTGATGAAAGAAGTAGTAACGAAGATAGTCATCAGTACAATGTGAATATGAATTATGTGGTTATGGAGAAAACGCAAAAATATAAACAGGTTGAGTATGATAATAGTGCGATGGAAACTTTAGCCGATATCGCGACCAAACAGGAAAAATTGGAGAAGAATTCTGTTGCGAAAAACGTGGCCAGTGAATTTTTAAAACTGGCCACAAAAAACGAACAGAACGAAAATGTTCGCGATGCTTTCATCCCGAACAATAAGGAAGTTATTGTTAAACCAGACGAAAATAAAAATTGTAATATTTGTATGAAAACTTTTACCAAACCTTCCCAATTAAGGTAAGAAAAAATCAATTTAACACCATTTAAAATCACAGGATTGTGTTAAAATAGTACTAATACAATTTCAATTTTTCTTTTTAGACTTCATATGAATATCCATTATTTAGAAAGACCATTTCGATGCGATTCTTGTTCGGTTAGTTTTAGAACTAAAGGACATTTACAGAAACACGAACGAAGTGCTAGTCATCATAATAAGGTAATTTAACTATTTTAAATAAATTTGTTTTGTTTTAATATTATTTTTTAAACAGTTGAGTTCCTCTCCAAACCTGTCGTCTTCAGAACCAAGACCGTTCAAGTGTTCAGATTGTAACATCGCATTTAGGATACATGGGCATTTAGCGAAGCATTTGCGGGCAAAAATGCATATCATGAAGCTCGAGTGTCTTAACAAGATCCCGTTTGGATTGTATGCGGAATTGGAACGTTCTAATAGTCTTTTAACCGAAATTAATACGGCGGATGTGGACCAATGTTTAGAGAGTTTAAAGGTTTGTTATTTAATAAAACTTTGGGAATTAATACTAGCATTATCACTGGGAATTAATAAGAGATTTAGAACTAATAGCTAAACTAAGTTAATTTTATGTTAAATATATTTTTATTTTTAGAAACTGGCGCAGAAGGTGTTTACAAACGATCCAGGAAAATTAAATCACCTGGGACAAACATCAGAAACAGTAGTAGAAGCAGATAGTTAGCGATAGATTATTAAAGAAAAAAATTGTTTTTAATTTGTACTGTTTAAGTAAGTTAAAAAAAAGACTGAAATCAAAACGAATGAGATGCTAGAAATTTTTTTTCTATAAAAATTAATGAAAAAACAAACGTATACACGTGGATAGATTATTATATATTATTATTACGATAGATTGAATATTTTTCGTGCTATATTGGAAGATTTAAAAAGTATAAAAAAAGAGGAGAATATCGATAGTCTTGTAGCTTTCTTAGGTGTATGTCATTCTCATTGTGTCAAAACTTTTTATGTGATATAAAAGTAAGTTTTTTTTCTGTACATAGATTTGGTTTATATTTTATATTTACGACATAACTTTTAAATAAATAAATAAATATATTAGGGACTAAAATCGCTATATAAATAAATCAAAAAGTTGTAAAAATTTGAGTTTTGTGAATTGTTATTGATTGGCACTTATTTTCTAATAACACAACAATGTTATAATTATCAAATATCTCGCTCCGAAATATCTTGTTTTGTTAACATCAATAAGCTCCTATTTTGGGTATTTGTTTAGTTTTATTCAAACCTATTACGTTTACTAGTTTTCTTATTCGAGTTTTAGTTAAGTTTGGACCAACATTTTAAATAAAGTGTTGCGTTGATTCGTTGTACATATGAAACGATACAATATTGTCTTATTGTTTAACTGTAGTTACTAATTTACTGAAAATTTCAGCTGTTAATTACATTTATATTGTTGAAAAAGTACAACATTATTGTTAAATATATTTTTGTTCAGTAAAAATTATTGCTTTTTTTCTTTTTGACGATTTACATATTTTAACTCGTTAAATAATAATTTACATAATAACATTCAAGTCCTTTTATAAAATTGTTTCATAAATTATTAATTTATTTAAATTTGTATATTTAATAAAGATTTTGAAATATAGATGGCGCTTTCTTTAATAAATAAAACAAGTTTAGTTATAAATTAAATATTTTAAGGATTTTAATAATTAATACTCTTTAAATTACGTTATTTAAATTATATTAAAAAAAATTTTTTTTTTTAAATAATCTTTATTTCTTGTATAGTTCTCAATAAAATATATAGATGTCACTTTGAAACATAACCTCACTTATAAAACACATCAACATAGTATAAATAAATTAGAAACATTTATAATTTATAAAATGCGTTTAACTCAAATATTATCAGCAATAAGTAAATATTCGAAAGATTACTCAAATTTACCTGATAGATACATAAAAAGGTCGATGGAACAAGTATACTGGAAAAACCCGAAAGGTATCCAATACAAACCTAACGCAGTAGTACAACGCAAAAACTTTAAAATGACAATGAATCGTCCGTGGACTGGACAATTCCACCAACAAAACACCGCTGGAAGGCATCATAAAAAAGTTTTTGTAGAACCCATAAAAGATTGGAGTTTCTTTCGAGGTGATCGCGTTGAAATTTTAGTTGGTAAAGATAAAGGTAAACAAGGAATAGTCAAACAAGTTATACAAGAAAGGAATTGGGTGGTTGTTGAAGGCTTAAATTGTCACCTAAGGAAAGTTGGGGGTGAGAAAAATTTTTCTGGGGTTTACATCCAATCGGAAGCTCCATTATTAGTGACAAACCAAGTGTCATTAGTAGATCCAGCTGATTTAAAATCAACTAAAATTGAGTGGAGGTTTACTGAAGATGGACAAAAAGTTCGAGTTTCTGCACGAACTGGAAGAATTATTCCCATTCCTGCAACTTCAGACACAACAGTTGATTATAAGACCAAAGGTACTTATAAAGAACAACCTAAAGATACAGCGGCTGATGATGTTGCTGCTATTACATTTGAACCAAAACTAAAAACGTTTGAAATGGAAATTATGGATAATATGGGAATTAAAGAAGATAGAGTACCACCTAAATCTTATTGGTATTAAAATTTATTTCTTTTAATAAAAATGATTAATAAAAACAAATAAAAAAAAATTAATTTTTCTTATTCTCTAATCCTTAAACTATATCTCATATTTGGTTATTAATTAATTACAAGCACCTATCTTTTATTAAAAGGTTACAATTTAATTTTTGTTGACGAGATATTAATTTTCCTGGTTTGGATGGGGTTTTACTAAATCCGTCGAATATTCGGGAGTGAACATTCCAGACCTGTCAACTACAGAGATTGGAAACTGCCCGAAGTTGCTTTGCATTTTTATCACCTCATATTGTGTATACCGTTTTATACTGTCCAAAACGTTTCCGACATGTTTTTAAACATTATCTGTTCGGTTTACTTTTTACAAAATCTCGCTCAAATTGTAAATGAATCGAAAAGCGTATAAAATGGCTACATGCATACATTAAATTTTTCTTTATTTTCGTAGGAGCCGGTTGACGAGTGAAGATATAGACACAGGTAGAAGAAAAGAACGTTAAGATACAGATAAAATTGTAATATGAAGTATTTATAAAAAGAAAAAAAAGTTGTCGACATTAAACTCGAAAGAAAATATGCCGAAGCAAGAACGAAATTTAGAAGAATTGAGAGAACATGTTTATGAAACTGGTAAGGTGCTGAAGAAGCCAAATAAAAACTAGAAGATAGATTAAATAGAAGAGGTACTGCATAAGACTGCAATCAGATTGAAACAGCTATATGGCTGTACATTCAATCTATTATCTCAGCAATTAATTGACTCCTTTGCGGTAAGTATTGGGTGTCCTAAATTCGTTGTCTGCATAGGTTATCTCCGAAACTAAAAGAGATAGAAAAAAAGTAGCTTATATATCATGATACATAATACGCACCAGCATGGGTTTATAAAGCGCCGTTCAATGGTTACTAATCTTGCGGTTATTACAGAAATAATATGTAAATCCTTGCATAGGGGTGATCAAGTGGCGTTTGATGCGATTCATCACGATCTTCTCTCCAGAAGCTCAGTATGTTTGGCTTTTCCCCTGGGCTTATGTGTCTTATTTCATCGTATTTATCAAGGAGGGCCAATTATGTATTTTATATTATGTATTTATTAAACAGATTTAAGTCTGGCGTATTAGCTTATGCTGATGATTTTAAGATATTTCGCCTTATGACCTCGGAAGATGACGTGGCTTCGATGCAGTCGGATCTTGATATCTTGGTGCAATGGTGGGATCGTAATCAGCTCGTGATTAATGTGGAGACGTGTACTATCACTTTTACACGTAGAACTACTCCTATCCTTCCATATTACTGGATAGGTGGAATCTCCCTGCTTAAGTTGACTTCTGCCAAAGATTTGGGAGCAACTTTTGACAGCAGACTATCGTTTATACCGCACATAGAGGATCTAGTTTTTCGAAAAACTGCTAATGCCGAAAATATCGAACAGCTATCGTCTTTTGTTTTCATCCTATTGGCAATAACTGAAAAATTTGCCAAAAACGAAAAACGCGAATATCTGATTAATTTCAAAAATTACGAAAAATTAACATTTTTTTCTGGGATGATTGACAGGCGAAAACAAAACTGACCTATCCTAACATTATCACACTTCCTTCACGCTATAATTGGTGCTTCTTCACGGTATAATTGAGATTTCAAAAGAAAACTGATCTATCCTAACATTCTTTCACGCTTTAATTAGGGTTTCTTCACGCTTTAATTGCGGTTTCAAAAGAAAACTACCTGTCTCAACATTCCTTCACGCTTTAATTGGGATTTCTTCACGCTATAATTGGGGTACAAAAGAAAACCGACATTCCTTCACGCTGTAATTGGGGTTCAAAAGAAAACCGACATTTGTTCACGCTATAATTAGGGATCCAAAACAAAACTAACCTATCATAACATTCCTTCACGCTTTAATTAGGTTTTCAAAACAAAACTGACCTATCCTAACAATCCTTCACACTTTTCTTAGAGTTTCAAAATCAGCAGCGCTACACTGTGCAATGAGATGAGTAATGGTATGTATGTATGTAAGAGATACATAATAGATACATATAAGATAGATACATATAAGGAGTTCCAATGGTCAAATGCAGAACTTTTTATTCACAAACCTTACTTTAAAGATTATATTTGCCCAGGGATAGTGGAGGAAGAGAGCTGCATATACCAAATATAAGCTGAAAGGTTAATTATTGTCGGCTTCGGGTGTAAAATAGCTCTTCTACAGGGTAGTAGCTCAGAAATAAAAATTAAAGTGGAACCTCTATAACCACTATTCAAGATCGCACTGAGTAACTTGATGAAATCTATTAACCCAGCTATTCAAAGTTTGTCCAAGGATCTAAAAGAGGAGGAATGGTCCAAATCCTATACATTCACTTTATCCGATGCAATGGGATAAGACATACCCAATACCCAACGAATTTGGGACACCTGTTCACAATTTTATGTGTATGGAAAGAATTTTTTTACAGTCTTAAATCATTTTATTTATCAGTTATTTAAGAAATTCCTCATTCATTTTCGTACAGGTGCATAAACATCTGCATAAATGTTTGTTCTGGGGGTCTGCTATCTCCGCCATAAAATAAAAATGATTTACAATATTCTGATTCAAATATTTACAAATTTACGTGTTTAGATAAGATAGTATCCTAACGGAAGAAATAATGTCGTGTTTAAAGGGCAAAAGTGTTACGTAAGGTTACAGCGTATATTAACTTTTGGACACATTAATCGATATATTGAAAGAACTAGGAAACTAGGAAAATCTGGGGTATCTAAATAGGTCACGCGGTCGTAAATGCATAATGAGATTATCGTATTTAAGATGATTTAATACTGCGTTAAAAAAATATTTTAACTTAACACAACATTTTTTTATTGATATATGTAGTTATAATAGAAGTTTTGTTATGGGACGAAATTAACTAATTAAAAAAATTCAAGTAACCCCGCATTAAGGTTGAGATATAAAACCGTCACGTACTGGGGGGCCTTATTGTCCCGGTTTCTCGTGAGATTGTTCGCATCCCCCTGTTTGCATAATTCCTCAGATGTATTGTTTGCTATAGTTGGGCGTCCGGCCAAGGGACGACGACGCTGCGGGCGTCGACGACGCTCTTAGTATTCACGGTACACGTGGGTTAGCCCTTAAGCCGAACGTTGCTAATGTTTATTCTCGACTTAAACCCCGGGTTGGGAACAAAAATAAGCGAGCCATAACATGGTCAGATGTCCAATTATGCAAAATAGAAACCGTAAAGAAAAATTGCAGAAGTACATAGTCTCCTCCGAAAAATAAATATTTAAAAAAAAGATAATCTTAAACGTGGCGTGTTCAAAAAAATACGTTTTCGAAATATGGCGATACTTTGCTAGTGTCGTTTCGTTGGGTTTTTGATCAATAAAAGGTCACAACACGAAACGGTGAACGTAAACAGTAACGTTTCAAAAAATTTTCCTCTTCGGAAAACCCTCTTTCTCGCCGTCCACGCAACCATACATCGACGCGAAGTTGCATGCGGGATATTGTAAAACGTACGAACATAATACGGCCGTGGTGGTTATTGTGCAACGACTCGCGAATAGTAAGAGCATAAACGATGAGAGAGGGTGGTTGTAGTAGTGGAAAATCGCTATCGTAGCTTCTGGCGGCTTGCCCAATAAACAGGACCGTATCAAAAGCTATATCAATCTAATGTAATTCTTAATATTTCAAATATTCTATTTATTCCGAGTAAGATAGAGTACACCAAGGCCCTCCATACAAATTCATCTAGTAAGATCCCTTGATACCTGTGATTGATGTTGGGATGGATCTCCTCTTTATGTCCAATTAGGTATACATAAACTCCAAGACAGTATACCTAGACAGGTCTAACTTCATTCTGATATTCGTGGAATATTCTTTGACTATTTCCACGACTCTTCTTAGATCTTTTTCTTTCTTGGAATATAACTTGAAATCGTTTGCAACATAACAGCTTAAGCAATTTAAACTTTCAAGTCTTCCAGTGTGACTAATTCTACATTCTTGTGCATCAACTTTCATATTGTTTGGTACCAAAAAAGGTTTGAAAAAAATTCCTACACCTTTCTCACCCTACGAGTGAGAAAGAGTTGCCGAAGATTGGGGCATATAATTCGAATTGGAGAAATGTGCAGTCATTTACTGAAAGCAAGGTAGAGCCATAGAAAAGTGACATCACGTTAAGATGGTGGATGGAAACCCGCTGCAACTTTTACTTTTCTGGTAATTGACCAACCTTACTTTAATGATGTTGCTGATATAAAGGCCATGCTGTGAATCAGATACCAGGAAATGTGACAAAATATGTGGAGCTTAGATTTAACAGATAGGAATACAATAAAAGACACTAATATGTTCATGGTGTCCGGAGATGTCTACACCTTTGGTGTAATCAAGCTGACTATCATAAAAGTATAGCGGCGAGGAATGGTCAAATGCGGAAGTTTTTATTCAGTTTAAACACTATATTTGCCCAGGAATAGTGGAGGAAGAGAGCTGCATATACCAAATAGAAGGGGAAAGGTTTATTATTGTCGGTTTTAGGTGTAAAATAGCTCATCTACTGGGCAGTATTCACTATTCAAGATCACACTGAGTAATTTGATGAAATCCATTAACCAAGCTATTCAAAGTTCCTTCAAAGACCTAAAAGAGGAGGACTGGTCCTAATCCCATACATTCACATTCTCCTATGTAATAAGACATACCCAATACGAGCTGCAGAGTGTGTTTTAAAAACCCGAAAACCATTATGCATTTATTAGGCGCCATCAAAGTACATAAGCAAACAGAAAGCCGTAATAAGAGTATTTTATTACAATCTTGGACATCAACATGGTATAGATAGTGTTCAACATTACAGAATGACTGCTTGAATCCCTAAGTTACCTACAAGCAAGTTCTCGCCTATTCCAGGGTTCAAATGATGGTCAATAATACTCTTGTTTAATTTATCTAAAAATAATTATTATTTAATTAAGGAAAATTTGTTTAATAAGTTATACAGGTGTTTGTAAA